AACACGGTCGCTGACTTCAACGACACCAGCACTAAACTTTTAATTAAATAGTAAAGTAAAGTTTTAAAGTTTGAATATCTTGTTTTAACCACAGAACTCGACTTTGAGGAGGGATTTCTGAGTTTTAGGACTCGTTCCTGCCTCACCCAATGGGCTTTAAATTTACATCCCCAACTAATACACGTGTAGTACGCAGGGACAACAGAGTGACATAAATAGCACTCTCTTATTCTGCCTGACACACTGTTTGGCTGTGACGCCATGTTCTCTTTAGTGAGGAATGAATGGTCGTAGCTGAAGAGGGTTTGGACCGGGGGGCTGTACATGTACACAGTTTATGTATGTGTATTTATGACTGCGTGTATGTGAGGGGGGCTTGTATATGTTGGCTGCCTTACAGCATCCTTGACTAGATAAACACAGGGAAGCCTGGAAATATTTTTGTTGAGGAAAACAAGAACGGCTCAGGAAAAGAGGGTACCCTCGATTCAAGGCAAACGGACTGAAACGCAGACAACGTGGCCAACGGTTAACACCTCAAACAACCCGCTGAGAAAGACAGCACCGCCAGATAATGTTCCCACCAACCTACTGCCAGAAAACTTCTTCCAACGTCAATAGGGTTAATAAACAACCACAGTGACAACACAAGCCTTTCTCCCTTTGAATGCTGTTGTAGTTGGGGTTGTATCAGTGAAATGCTGCCTGAATGAGGCCAAATGTGCAGCCTAGAATAATCTATTTTATAGATTCCTGTGTGACAGCTGTCAACGCACATTACAAAATCAACAGAAAGCCGATATCGCACTTGTGTCTTGATGTTGATGTAGACTCCAGAGGGCTGAAGGAAAAGATTGAGAGAGAACAGGTGGACATGACATTGTGCGCCACTCACACTCGACTACAATAGGTGTTTTACAAACCGTCTCAAGTGTTGAAGCACAAGCGGAGGTAGTTCAGTAAATAGTGAAATAAACTTTATTTACGAACAACATGCGGCGCTCCTGGTTATGCTTTCTGAAACAAAGAATGGTTGCTTGGTGCAGTAAAGCAATTTCCAGTCAGCATTTTAAAAATAGACATGTAATCCCTCCACTGTTGCCGTACTGGTGGGCTAATCACTGCTTTGGTTACTAAAACCACCACACTGATAGAAAAGCTTGCACCGCCAGTCCTGGGACACCGTGTGCACAACTCGATCAACACAAACAAACAAAAAGAGAGCGAGGAAGGGAGTTTGCAACGAGTCCCAGTGCAGATTTGCAATCCAAACCAAATTCAAAGCAGCAGC